GTAAAGTCACAGTAAAATGAGTCCAGTATACATTGAACGTTGATCCTAATTAGCTGGCTGCAGCCATTGCTGTTCCCAGAGGCCTGTGGTTTTCCGCTGAGGCTCACCGGGGAGGTCACATTAATGATCACAGCATCCCTTCATTAGCTATGGTAACAATATGCAACACAGTCTAAAGAGCGGTAATTACATCACTTGAATTTCATCACTGTGATTGTAAATTGCTGTCCATTCATCCCTCTGTAATCAAATACACACTAGGGGTGTTGATTGATGAAAACAGTGATACTTAATGAAATACATATTTATATCATGTTGATTATACACATATGATAATATTGTGTAAATAACCCAGCGGCCCGAGACTAAGGTCATCCCGTTGTCCCAGGGACAATAACAAATCTAATTGGTATGAGCGCTGACAGACAGAAGTAACTGACGATCGAAGAGTCCAGAGAACGCAACCCTTTTTTTCCTCAGAAAATGCTTCATTATGAACAACAATCCATTTTTAAATCGGCAGGAGTAGATCTAGTTAACGGAAGCTGTACGATGTTTAGCAGCCTCTGGTGAGACAGTCCAGCTTGGCTAAATTAAGGAACTAATAGCTAACATTGACAAAGTGCCGCTCTATTGACTTACACCATGATGCCTCTAAGCAATATTGAATATTGATCGATATTGATGACAATGCAAGTATTTCTCTAAAGTCAAATTGCACTGCTTGGCCAAATGTGGTCTACACAAAGATGTGATTGATACGTATTTATGTTTTGTTCATATTGTTGCTTAAAGGTAGGGTAGGTAAGAATGGAGAAACCAGGTCGAGTGCGCTAGAATTTGAAAGTACACAACCGGAAAAAATCTGCCTCTTCCTTCAGACTTCCTTACAGAGCCCCTCCTCCAACACACACGAACGTGCACATGACCAATGAGGGCACGAGATAAGTTTGTGCACAGATGGAAGGCTGACAGGCAGGTAGGCCATCCAGTTATTTTAGCCGGGCCGGCTAAAATGATTGATCGTGCTTTTTACAGCGCTACGGCTTCCACAGATGAATTTTTTTAATGTATTTATTGTCAAAGCATTTAATATATTCATTGCTATCGGGATGTTAAGAGCATTCCATGGAATATAACAAAAAGTGTTTCTGAAGTGAATTACCTACCCCACCTTCCATACACACATTAATACACACATTATATCACAGGGTTTCTTTGGCTTTTAAGTGGAAGACTGTTGAATTGATATTGGATTGTAACTCTCAAACAAAACATATTTTTGAGGGTTGGATTTTACAGTGAGCATCTTTAAGTTTGAAAAGATGGTTATGGTGAAAAAACTGTGAAGTTTATTCTCCATCTACTTCAAGAAATTGATTCAAGGTTCACATTGAGACCATAATTCCCTGGGGTATGCAAGAGTGGATTTAGCTCAGAAATGTGGATGTGATTTACACGTAAATCTCCAAAAGGACAATTTGCATGGGTTAAATTGTTTTTATTTATGTAGGGAGGCTCTGTGTCGACATACTGTTTGCATTTCAAAGTGAAATGCCCCAATCTGGTGAATTTTGAGATCAACTTTAAGTGGCTAGATTAAAGGTGGGGTAGGTAATTTTGGAGAAACCAGCTCGAGTGCGCTAGAATTTGAAAATACACAGCTGGAACAAATCTGCCACTTCCTTACAGAGCCCCTCCTCCAACACACACGAACGCGCACATGACCAATGAGGGCATGAGATAAGTTTGTGCACAGATGGAAGGCTGACAGGCAGGTAGGCAATCCAGTTATTTTAGCCGGGCCGGCTAAAATGATTGGTCGTGCTTTTTATAGTACTACGGCTTACACAGATGAATTTTTTTTATGGATTTTTTGTCAAAGCACTTAAGATATTCATTGCTATCGGGATGTTGTAGTGTATCTCGAGCCGGTTTCTCAAACTTACCTACCCCACCTTTAAGAGGATAGACACTCTATGTTCTCTATGAATGTTCATAACACAGCATAAATCAGAAACCTACAGAGCATGTTAATCGAGACGGGCTCTGTGTTTCAAGAAAGGTCGAGAGGTTTGCCGGCACCGCTGCAGAATCATCACACTGAGGGCAGCCCACCCTGGAATGTGGGGGGGCTTATGCCCCTTTCACACCGACGCGGTTCCAGGACTGGTTCGGAGCTAGAGCCTGATAAGCACCGGTTTTTCCTGTTCACACCGCCGACATCAATACATGGGCTGCACAGGTTGTCATGTCCGACTATCACAAGTAGAATCATAATGAAAAATACGCTGGTAAAATGTGCCTGTAGAAAACGGCTTATTCCACAATAGAGCTTTTCTGGTTCGGAACCGGTTCTTCGGTTCAGCTCCCGCTCTGTTCACACCGCTCAGAGCCCGACTGGTGCTGCGTCATTGCGTCATCGTTTGCGTCATGACGTAACCGTTTGCGTGCCTGCTTCATAAAGCCAAACCGCGCGGAAACCCCTCACATCGACAACAACAACAATGGCCGATTGTATTGAAGCGCTACTCGTTTTGGTTTTGCTCTGTCGAAACGAAATGGAAGAAATGGGACGACTTTACTACCAACTTCACAGTCGTTACATGCTACATTCAAAAGTTCTTTACAATCATCATCATCAACTTCAACGACGATTCCGTAGGAGAAAGAAGGTAAATATACGTCCTATTCGATGGCGTTAGAGCTAGCTAGCGTGCTCCCCACCAGCTTCCTCTGTACCTCTTCGGAAGACCAGATTCCCAGTAGGTAGCTGGTCTCTTCAGTGGACCACTGCTGCTTGTTAAGTTTTAGGTTTTCTATCGTTGTGTACAAACTGGATAAAACGCGGGCTTTTTGTTGTTGTTAGAGGTTGATCCCGCCCCTGCCCCTGCCCCCGCCTCCGACGTAAGCGTGACGTATGTTGTGCTTGCTTCCTAGACCGACAACTTTTTGGTGCTTGAAACGAACCGGATTCCGGAGCTTAGAGGCGGCTCCGCTGCGGTGTGAACAGGAAAAAACTGTGCTTTTTAAGCTCCAGCTCCGAACCGGCCCTGGAACCGCGTTGGTGGGAAATGCAGCAGTAGTCAAGATAGTCAGTTTAGCTTCGGTTGCTACGCTAACATCACCCATTTGATACCAGAGAAACTTTCATAACAGCGTTGTGATGCCAAACAGCGGGCAGCACTGCAGCGGTCGGTAAATGCCGCTGAAACACATTAATAAACAATGAACCACGGCACTCTTGAGATGTAGTTATTTAATTTAATCTGGCTTCGTATGATTGGGGAGAAATCAGCGACGTAAGCGGTGAAGTCCGCGGCAGCACCAATCGGGCTCTGGGCGGTGTGAACAAAACGGGGGCTGAAAATAAAAACCGGTTTCGAACCAGAAGAGCTCTAGCACGGAGCTAGAACGGGAACCGCGTTGGCAACTCTCCAGTCTAAAACCACTGGCTGGCTGACCTTTTTCAACACACTTTACTATGACTTGTTTCATAGAATTTTAGATAAACTATACTACTATGACTTTTCCACAACTACTCTTTTTCATATTTTAACAGACTATACTGTGACTCTTTTTCATATTTTCAATACTTAAATATGACTCTTGACAAATATTTCGCCATACTATGTCTTTTTCCAAAAAAGATTACGTACCATACCACGTTCTTTTTCATGAAATATACTAAACTTTTTAAGTACAACATACTATACTATGACTTTTTTCAAAGTACTATACTATGACTTTACCATGATATTTTCCACATACTATACTATCTTTTTTTCATGAATTTTTGGAAAATATTATAATATGATTGTTCATTATTCATTATTCATTTTTGTATTATTATTTGTATTATTATTATTATCATTATTGTTATTATTATATTCTTTATTAATCACATTATCAATAGCTATACCAATTATATATATAATTGTTATAATTATATATATATATATATTTAATTGTGTAGTGAGGATCTGCTATCCCTAGTTCACACAGAGACAGACACACACAAATCAAAACGATATTGTCCCTCAGTTTAAGGATGCATTTATTGTGTACTTTATAGCCATTTTAAACCACAGGTTCATCAAATATTACACAGAGGTCAAGGCCAAGGAGAACAGTATTCACCTCAGTTACTGCGCACAGAACCGATCTAATGTTATAGATATGAAATTGTAGTTTTGTTTCCTAACTTCCCTTGTAAAACAGACATATGTATATTGGGCAGGCACAGTAAAGGTAACCATGTACAATATAATGCTCTGTAGTGTGTGTGACTATGACCACATGACCAGAGAAGTATGGGCTCAACTGTTTTCAGAATGCATTGCGTTATACTGTAAGGTGTTTCAGTTATTGTGTCTACCCCATGTGTTTTGCCAAAGAAGAAACATTATTAAAGTTTATAAAGTTAAGCTTAAAGCTAATTCTGAACAAAATATAAAAAACACCTCAAATCCACTGTGTGGTAGACTTGTCTTCCTCACTTAATGTTATCAAAATATAACTAACAAAATAAAAGATTAATTCTTATTCATAGTTATTTCAGTGTATTTAAGAGGAAGTTTGGCTGACGTCATTACAAGGAAAAAAGAGAGAGATCACAAACTGATTTAGGGGACAAGTGAGATTCAGTTTCAAAAAAGGGTATTTGTTTTTATAAACATTTTACATACAAATAAGTAAAAAATATCAAACTGTTTTCAGTCAGTCAGTTTTAAAAATCTCTAATGACCCTTAGAGGAGAATATAATACCAGTGGAGTCAGAGTTAGACAGTTTTGATCGAGTTTTAAAACGTTTTTGGGACCAGAGATAAGATTTTGTTATTATCTACAGAATAACAATCTCTGTTTGTAAAAGCCCTAAGAGTTATAGCTCAGCAGCTCACATACTAGCTTCATGTGATGCGTCATACCTTTGACTTCTGAAACCTGCTCGATCAATAACATAATGTACTGGATCATAAAAATACACATTTTCAAAAAATCAAAGCTTCCTTCCTAACTTCATTCTCTGACCTGCAATCATAACCAACTTTATAATTTTGTATCTAATTTTAGTCAGGATCAGTCCATAGATAACAGGGTTGAGAATAGGGGGCACCAGGAGAAATTGTATAGCCATGAAGTTCCTTACACTCTGTGACACAGATGCTGACCCATACCGTGAGTACATAATGTCAAAAAGCAAAGCTGCAGTGACATTAAACAGACAAAACAAATGTGGAACACATGTCTGTGTAAACTTTCTCATAACATCCTTGGATTTTAAAGCTGATTTGACCAACTGCACATAAGAACAAAAGATGAAGACAACATGCGCAATATAGAAAGTCACTACGATCAATCCAATAATGCTGTTTACTGCATTTGAACTACAAGCAAGTTTGACAATTGACCAGTTCTCACAATAGAGTTTATCTATCTGAGAACCACATAATGTTAGTTTAGATGTCAAAGTAATAACCATCACTTCACAGGAGAGAGGGACAAGCCAGGAGAGAGCAATAAGCACAGCGGTCCTTTGCACAGACATTATTGAGTGATACTCCAGAGGTCGACATATAGCCACATATCTGTCATAGGCCATAAGAGCTAACACAGAGAAATCTATTGATGCATAAGAGTATATCCCAAACACTTGTAGAAAGCATCCCACATATGATATGATTTGATTATCAGACAGCAGATCAAAAACAAATTTAGGATAAAAGGCTGCAGTCCCATAAAGTCCATTAACGCACAGATTACACAAAATAACATACATGGGTTCATGCAAATTTGTGTCCAAGATAATGGTGATAATGATACAAAAGTTAACCACCACAATGAGAAAATAACATAGTAAAGTGAGAGAGACAATTGTGAATTTGTAGTTGACAGTCGCACTGAAGCCAGACAAGGTAAAAAAATCTATACTAGATGAGTTAGTTATTTTGCTGTAATTCATTTGAAACCAAAATTCTCAAAGTCATGAACTGTATTCCAAAGATCCGACCGTTTCTTTTTAAAGGTATAAACACTGATTGTTAACCTGCAATATGTTCTGTGGGTGTTTACCATTACCTGTCCAGGTATCTTACTGTTGCACTGTGTCAGTGTCAGTATTATTAGTCTGATGTTAAAGGGAACTCCCTCTTTGCTGCAGGCATTTCATTGGCAGGCTGTGGCTCAGTGGATAGAGTGCTGGACTTTGAATCACGGGGTAGCAAGTTCAAGTCCCACTGCAGTCAGCATGTCGTTGTGTCCCTGGGCAAGACACTTCACCTCAAATTGCTCCTGTGTGGATTGTCCACAGTACTGAATGTATGTAAGTCGCTTTGGATAAAAGCGTCTAACAAATTACATGTAATGTAATTGGATGGCAGCTCAGAGAAAGAAAAAAAATATATTTATTAAAATATAACAATGGACCAAAACAAACTATTGATTCAAGGTTGTTTACTCTTAAAACTAACAAGTGTTTCATCTGAACTGTTAAAGCACGATAACATAAATGCATGGTGTTGAGCATTAGCTCAATTAATTCAATTATGTTGAGAACTCACAACTTCATAGTTTCTTATGCTACTTTGATAGCTGGACTCCACCACTTTTCCCTTCAAAAACGTTCTTCATCCATAGTGTCTTCGCACTTCACCTTATACAGTAATATGCTATTTCTTTTACACTTAATGTTAAAATATCATACTAATACATACATTTAAATTGTGTTAGCTGTATGTTGGCCCTTCATAGTGTATATATTTGACGGATAATCTACAGAAATATATCTTTCACTGTCAAAATGTACATATTTTATTTTATTTAGTTCTGTTTTTATTTTCTATTTTGAGATGTTTATATTTTACGTTTGTTTATTTTCTACTCTTTTTTATTTTCACATTATGTGCAATGCCTTGTTTACATGATGCAAAAAACAATCCCAAATTGGGATCAATAAAGTAAATCTTATATCTAATCTAATTTTGATTGGTACATTTTTCAGTAATGGAGTGAATAGTTAACTTCTGAGCCCTATAGAAGAATATCTTTCTCAAGTTTCAGTCAACACAATGCTGTTGTCACACAATGACATGTGTAAGCCAATTTGTGGGCGTTATAAAAAGGAGAAGCCCAATTTAATGTCCCCCTCACACCCCATTTAGAGGGAGTATTGTTGTGATCTGGTGATTTTGGGTCTTGTGTGACCATTTCAGAAAGAAAGGGAGCAGGCTGAAACTTATGAAATATTTATTTGCTAACAAAAAGGATGTTTGGATTAGAGTTACGTTGAAAATGACCATAAGTGGCCTTCTTGAACAGTAAAGTAGCTGCTGGTAACAGCAGCAAGCATTTACAAGTGCAGAGACAGTTGTGTTTGTCAACCTCCAAGAATCGCGACCTTCATGTGGTGCAGTCTGACCCCTTGGAGCTGTGATATTGGGAGCTTTACCCCTATCCCTTCTGAAAATCTTACATTACATATTGTTTTGGTTTAATCCATGTTAGTTAATCCAACTAATGCTCCTATGCCATCTAGTTGACCAATATGGAAGTTAAACACCTCCAGCAGACATTACCACCCGGTCTGCATGGGACAATGAATTGGATTCAAAAGATGTCGCAAACTACCCCCTGGTGTCAGAAATCCACTCAAGAGGTCCCTGGCAATAACCTCCCAAGGACACAGTGGTCAATTCTCTTTAAATTAAGGTCTGATCACAGCCTGTTCTTGACCAGCCTCCATGGGTGGAACAGCTGCCCAAGCCCACTATGTGCTTTGAGAGAAGAGCCAACGATGGAAGGAGGTTTGCCCTCTCCTAAAGAAGGATTGATCCCCCTCCAGCTGACCAGGGGAAAGACCTTGGCTCAAGGTCTTTGCTAAAGGAGTAAAGCGCTGGATGTTTCAATGGTGCACATTAACAAAGCCTTGCCTGTCCTTGCTTTGCTGTGACATTGTGTGAAATTGCATTGGAAGGCGATTCACCTGTAAAATGATAACTTCCTCCTCCATGGACTTATCCGTTCACTTAGTTCCCTCAAAGGTCAGCACACTCACAAAGTCTTGGTCACCAAAGCTGAATTTACAGTAAATAACAATATATGTTGTCTCTATTCATTCCTATGATTATTGCCATTGATAACATTGTTGTCAGATATTTTGCTATTTCACCATTCTTCTAAATTGACAGAGCACATATTTTTTTAATTATTCAGGAAAAAAATGGGCATTTTTTATTCTAGGCCTTCTAACATTAGTGGCCTTCTCTCAGTGTATAGGGAGTTAGCACACAGTTGCATGTTTGTTATGCATGGAGACTACTGGTCCCAGTGCATGACATCAACAATAGAACCCCAGAGATGTAGTGGACTAATGACCCTGAGGCCTAATCATCATGTTTACTCTTTGTCCTTCTGAGGTTGCATCACAACAGATGGGAGTTACATCAGAAGATCTTTATTGTGTTATCGATAACATGGTAATCTCATGTAACTGAATGCATCAAGTTGTCTCAATGTGTTGGCTGTTGTCCTCAGGGCCTCCCGCCTCTCTTGAGCCAACGTTAACTTTCATTAAAAGTGTGTGTATGTGATATTAACGCTTGAAGGAAAGTGCTAAAGAAAAAACATTTACTTTTTTATTAGATTGATATCCAAATTGTTGTGCGAAATTTCAATAAAACATTGATGCCAAACAGAAAAAAAAACGAAAGTCCAATCAAAAGAGGAGAAGAAGAAGTGTCCTACTCATACAGTGTAGCATTACAATCCTGCATTGACTTGGAGTGACTTGATCACAAAAACAAGACTATTCACTTGAAAAACGTTCTGGTTTTTCAATCAAATTGAAAAAACACTTAAATCAAAAATAAGGGGGTGTCCTACTCGTTCAGTGTTGTGATTCAATGCTACATTGATTTGGGGTCACTTGGTCACATGACATTGGAGCTATTGAAAGCATTTGAACTTTTCATTAGAAAAGAATGCTCTGGTTTCAATCAAATATTCATATTTAATAGATATACCTGAATAATTGAATGTTATACATTTAAAATCTGCTTTATCTTACACACTGTACGTTTAATTGATAAACATCAATGGAAACAAGCCGTGTAGATATATAGCTAAGAGCATGGGCGTAGGAAGCATCCTGAATGTGGGGGGGACATTTTTAACGGACGTGTGGGGTCGAAAAAAAATATAGATTTCCTGTATTCTGGTGCATTTTAACAGGTGGTTTGATACTTTTATGTGGCTATACTAGCATGAGGAAAATGATGGGTACATTTTGTAATTTCAGTAGTAAAGAAAGGAAACATATTTGATTATTAATTCAGAGCTGTCTTTGAATTAATAAAAAGCAGTTTAAATGCCCATTTTTTGTACATTTATATACAACAATAAATATTTGTGAGTGCATTGAGAGATATTGTTGTGGAGAGTCATTTATATATAAATCGCAAAATACATTTGTGAATCCTTCTGTGAGCATTTATTAATATTGAGACTGATCTGACTCCATACGGATGTTAAGTTCACCTAGGAATGGTATCATTGACTTAAATGTTCAAATACATGTTGCTCTTCTGTCTATATTGGTCATATGATGCCCCTTGACTGAAATGTTTCCTGTTCAATATCCCCACTGATTTCCTTAAAATCCTGGGATGAGAGTCCACATCACAATTTACTCTCAACTGTCATTTCCCTTTCATCACTCACCTCAGCAATGGACCTCTCTCCACTGTCCCTGTATTCTGCCTCTGACTCACTCTCAAGTGCCTAGATGTCAAGAGAGGTGGTGAAGTGATAATAAATACTGATAAATACTAGTAACCTGGCATTTCGATGCCTTTTCTCATCTAAACTATTCAGTATTTGTATCTCTCTATCATGACATAAAGACGAAACTCCTCTCCAGAAGTGAGACACCGCCATCACTGTTAACTGATTAACTGCTACCAGCTGATGACTTACTTTCCTCTTCTTTGAAAAAAATGTTCTTATGTCCATGTTGTCTGGGGGAGAAAACATATCAAACCAAGAGATCGTCAGCTTTGATTTTCGCTGTATTAACCATTTCCTGAACATTTGGTGTGTGTGCCTTACCTCCGCTACCGGCATCGCTTTATACAACAGATCTGAGCTGTCCAACTATGACATCACTCCTTGAACATGCGCGCGCTATGTGAGAATCTGCCTTGGTACAAAGTAGCAGTGAAAACATGGAACGGAGTTTCATTGATTTGGGCATTCTCTCAATAAGCAAGTGGAATGGATTTAATTTGATAGTGAAGCACTGACACAGCGCTCGACAAAGTGCAGCGAGTGGATAGACCGATTCACGGACTTTCCGCATAGTAAAAGTGGGGGGGTCCAAACTAATCATTTGAAAAAGTGGGGGGGACTTGTCCCACCCTCATATAATGGCTGCGACGCCCATGGCTAAGAGGATCTCTGAGCATCCTTTAGTCTAGTATTAAAGATTTACTCCACTTCTGATGGAGATGCTGAACCCAGGACCGTATACATGTGAAGCATACGCTCTACCACTGAGCTACATCCCCCTCTGTCTCTATAAAGATTGTCTGGTCGATTCATTTATTTATTTTAAGTCTTTTATCAGCATCTTAGTTGTTGAATCATTAGATGGTGTTCAGAGAGATTCTGGGGATTGATCCCAGGACATTATACATGCTTGCAAAAGGAAAATAGATCAGCTCATGAACCGGTTTGCATGAGGAGCACTAGTTGATGGTTTGAGATAGTCTTAAGAAGAAGCTATCAGTTTCAATGGAGATGCTGGGGATTGATTCCAGGACTTTGTACATGCAAAGCACACGCTCTACCACTGAGCTACATCCCCTTAATACAATCACACCAATCTGTAGAAAACGTCTTGTTTGTACATTTCTATACTAATACTATACCTGATTTATAAAAATTAAAAATAGCTATTATGGCCAC